GGAAACTGAGGCAGGCCCCGGCCCAGCACCTGGCACACAGGGCCCAGGCGCCGTGTACACTTGCACAAGAGCGCTTCCAGCACAGAGCGCCTGCACTGGCCTGTGCTTCTGCACAAGAGCATCCCTGCCAGTGCAGACGCTGTCTTGCCCAAGAAAGCTCCCATGGCCATTCTAACCATCCGCCTTTCTTGCACAAGAAATTCCTGTTGCCTGTCCCCACTGGCCTCTTGTGCAAGAACAGTTGCACAAGAGGGCTTATTCCTGAGCAGGAGCAGAGCTCTTGTACCTGAATCTCAAGTTCAGTAGAACAGACATAGTAAGTTTTGCAAAGTACATTCCCAGTGAAACTTGTTTCCATGGAAGCAAATAGCTGCAGATGCTTTACCATTCAACAGGGAAACATTTCTGTAGCAAGATCCTAGGGAACAGCCCAGGGATTTCTCCACAAAGTCCCCCTTGGGACCCCTCAAGAACAACTAAATGGAAACTGAGGCAGGCCCCGGCCCAGCACCTGGCACACAGGGCCCAGGCGCCGTGTACACTTGCACAAGAGCGCTTCCAGCACAGAGCGCCTGCACTGGCCTGTGCTTCTGCACAAGAGCATCCCTGCCAGTGCAGACGCTGTCTTGCCCAAGAAAGCTCCCATGGCCATTCTAACCATCCGCCTTTCTTGCACAAGAAATTCCTGTTGCCTGTCCCCACTGGCCTCTTGTGCAAGAACAGTTGCACAAGAGGGCTTATTCCTGAGCAGGAGCAGAGCTCTTGTGCGAGAAGCCCTGATTTTATACAGTAGAACGTCGGTTTACTTGCCCAAGAACACACGGCCAGTGTAGACAGGCAACAAGTTTTTGCACAAGAGCAGCCACTTTGGCACATGATTGCACCAGTGTAGATACAGGCCCAGTGACTGAAGCAACCGCAGTGCAGCACCAGGCCAGAGAAGAGCAAACCCAGCACAATGCCCACGGGGAGAAAGTGGCCATAGGGAGAAAGCTGGAGGGGTAGACCCAGCATGAAGTAAGGGGTAAGGGCAGCAGACCCAGTGTGGTGCCCACAGGGAAAAGCGGAAGGTGGGCCCAGCACGGTGCCTGGGGGGGAAGGGAAAAGGCAGGGGTGGGCCCAGAGCGGTGCCCCGAAGAGCTTCAAAAAGGTCTCACCAAGCTGAGTGATTGGCCATCAAAATGGCAAATGAAATTTGCTGTTGAGAAATGTAAATAATGCCCAGGGCTCGACAATGTAATCGACTTGCCTGTGGCGAGTAGATCATGACCCAAAAGAGCCGGCGCAGCGCGACCGCGGGGCTGGGGGTGGGGCTCGCCGCCGCTCGGCAAGCCCTGGGAATGCCCATTGGAAAAGTAACCCCGACTATACATACAGTACGATGGGGGCTCATTTGGCTACGACTACCCGGGAGCGAGATCTTGGAGTCGTCGCGGGTAGTTCTCTGAAAACATCCACTCGGGCGCAGCGGCCGTCAGAAAAGCAAAGCGAACGTTCGGAGTCATTTAACAAGGGAGAGACTTTGTCTACACTGGCCGCTTCTTGCACAAGACTAGCTGTTCTTGCACAAAAACTTGCTGGTTCTACACTGCACACGCGTTCTTGCACAAGTCACTTTACAGTCTAGTATCAGAAAACAGGGCTTCTTCCGGAAGAGTTATTGCTCTCCCCACGAGGGCAGCGTAGACAGGCAACGTGAACGGGGTCCCTGGCCTGTCTGTGTGGAGGTGGGTGATGGGAGGGATCATGGGATGGCTAGCGTGGTGCCTGAGGGGAAAGCGAGGGGGGGCAGGCCCTGCGACATGTTAAAACGAGGCATGTGAGCCGACAGACACTGGGCTGGATGCACCCTTGGTCTGGCTCAGTCTGGCCACCCTGATGTTCTCAGGACCCTGTGCCGAAGTGGGGGGTTTAGTCAACTTGTTCTGTTGTGGGGCGTGTGCTTTGGCAGCAGCTCCCTCCCAAGAGCACTGGGCATGCCTCAGTTTCCCCGGGGCGGCCCTCAGGCCTGGATGGGATGGGAATTGGGGGTGTGACTTGCTGAGCCTTGGGGTAGGGGAGCTGGGCGATGCCCTTTAGAACCTCGGCCCATCGGGGCTCAGGCCTGGGGACGCCTTTCCCCCCGGAAGGAGCAAGGGGCCTGTCAAGAGCCTGGCGGCCAGCTGAGGGGGGCTCACGGGGAGAGCCAGGCCCAGTTTTCTTACGGGGTAAGCGCCATTCTACATTGTGTTCCTGGCAAAGCCATGGACCACGCGTCCTCTGAATGGTTCTGCTCATATGCGGAATGCATTTTGTTGTGAGCACCGAGGCATGTGGAGATGTGCACCATGCATAGAAACCCCTGCTCCCCGCCATGGGCACTGTGCCAATCAGCTTGTGGCACGAACTTCTTGTGGGCAGCCGTCCACGCGCTCGGCTTACTGGGAACAGCGGTCACAGCTGATCGGGAAGTCGGGTGGCCGGGTTCTACCTTGCCAGGAGCCCCGGCTGGGCGGCCTTGCTGCGGGGAGCACAAGGGATGGACGGAGGCCAGACTCGGGGAGGGCGAAGCTGTGGAAGTTTCTTGCCCAGAGGTCAGTGGGCTCAGAGAGAGGAGGGACCACCCCTAGTCCTGCTTGGCCTCTGCCAACTGGTTTGGAGCATCGTCCCTCCACCCCTCAAGATCTGCAGACAGCTTTGGGAGGAGCGTGGGGCCCCGGGGCAGGCCCCTTGGGCGTCTCTCACGAACGCAGGGACTCATGAGGACACTGGTTTATTGCAAAGCAGCAGCTGCGAGAAAGCCCGGCCTTGGGGCAGAGCGCCCAGCACAGGGCAGCTGCGGGGGCCAGAGACCCTCAGCAGGGCCCTGCCACAGGCGCACCCATGGCCTGGCCCAAGCAGCCGGAAGGCCCCACTGTTAGGTGGGCTGGCCCAGCCCCAGCGCTGCACGCAGGGACTCATGAGGACACTGGTTTATTGCAAAGCAGCAGCTGCGAGAAAGCCCGGCCTTGGGGCAGAGCGCCCAGCACAGGGCAGCTGCGGGGGCCAGAGACCCTCAGCAGGGCCCTGCCACAGGCGCACCCATGGCCTGGCCCAAGCAGCCGGAAGGCCCCACTGTTAGGTGGGCTGGCCCAGCCCCAGCGCTGCTGGCTGCTCCGTCTAGGGCACAGACCGGCCCAGAAGTGCCTGGAGAGGCAGTGCTCCAGCCCCGAGGCAGGGCCCAGCTCTGATGCCCCCTGGGCTGTTCCTCACTCAGGCCACAGGCCAGGGAGCAGGGAATTAGCTGAGGGCTTGGGAGGTGCCTTCCGGAGCAACGGCAAGACTGGCAGCCACCTGCCACTTGGGGCTGCCTGGCCGCTGGCGGCCTCGTAGTCCGAGATGCGACGCTGAACCAGGGAGGGCATGAGCTGCACGTAGGCCCCCATGAGGCGGTGGTTGGAGTGGACGAGCTTCCCAGCACAGCAGTCCAGACAGTTCTCCTGCTGGGACAAAGCAGATCACAGGGACCCAGCCCCACCAGGACCAGAGCCCATTCCTCCCCAAGGGCCCCTGCCACACAGCAGGCTGCCCATGGCCCGGATGAGCCAGCCTGCCAGCTGTGCGCCAGGAAGAGCTCCCCAACCCCGGTGCTGGGCCAGGGCTCACCTCTTCCCTGGTGAGTGCCCGGTAGTTCAGGTTGGAGACGCAGCGCAGGAAGCAGAGCTCCGTCATCCTGTTATAGACCAGCAGGAAATCCCGCAGCTGCAAGGAGAGCAAGGAGCTGGGTGCGACTGGCCTCCAGATCGCCCCCCCGTCCTCGCAGAGACCCCGCTTCCCCGTTGCGCAGCTGGACAGCCAGATGCCCTGCCCGACGGGACTGGCTGGAAAACGGCCAAATGGCCCTGTGGACGGAGACTCAGCATAGACTGGGCCCGTTCTCAGCAGGGCCCCGCAGAACCGGGCAGCCCCAGGTTACTGTACGCCTGTGCCGGATCCACCCCAGGGAACACACAGGCAGGGGGCACACCCCCTTGAC